CATACACATACATACACAAACACACACATTACACATATATACAAACATACACATACACAAACACACATACTACATATAAGCCACACACACAATGGACACATACACAAATGCACATACGCCATATATATACAAACACAAATACACACATACACACATACACAAATACATATACTACATATAAGCCACACACACACAATGCACACATACATACCACACACATACACACCACACACATACCACACTACACACACATACACATGCCACATGCAAGCCACACCACATAACACATACACACACCACTCACACATACACACACATACCACATGCAAGCCATACCACATACATACATACATACCACTCATACATACACAAACACACATGCACACAACACATACACACACTATACAAACACACACACCACACATACACTCACACTATACATGCACACACATCACACACACACACATTACAGATAGTATCTGTTTTGTGACACACTGAAATTGAGACGCTCTGGACCAAACTTGGCGCAAATTTCTTTGACTGTCAGACTCCATTAAGTGTGGTTATGGAGATGAGACCTGATGCTGACCTTCAGCCCCTCCTGCTCTGAGCCCATCGCTTACAACCGTGCTCTATAAATAATCGCTGCACCGATCTTCCCATCTGGACTCCATGCTCCTGGAGACTGGAGACTTGCTTATCTGCATTACCTGTCTGTAGAGAACTGGCAAATCTGGACAGCCTCACAGGCTCAGTGTCTCTTTTCAAAACTTAGCCACAAGCTAGCTAAGTAGGTCAGAGAGAGGCAACCGAGTTTCAAAGGCTCCCATGTCATACCAGGACCAAGTTTGAATACGAGGCTCTTGTCACTGATGTGAAACTCTCCAGACCCAACCTTCTCAGAGTCTAACACCCACACATCACCTTGGGAACTTAGTACTGATCCAGTGGTTTGGAAGGGGCTCACGACTCAGCTTTTTGAACAAGCTTCCCATTGGTGTTGATGGTGTTGGACCTTAGGCTGTAGGCAGTGGTGATGGGTCGCATTTTTCTTATTCTCCTCCCTATGCAATCATGTATGGTGAGATGGGTCATATCTTTCTCCTGGCATTCTCTACGCGGCATGTTCTATACAGCTCTACCCAGCCAACACCTGTCTCTCAGAATGGGAGCAAGGACTCTACGTGCTGCTGGTAGGTCTCTCTGCGTGTGTCTTCTTTCTCTGATACCACAGATCTGTCGCCTGTGGCCTCCGGCACCCTTCCTGCCACTTGGCACCATTTATAAAAGTCAAATAAATGCAACTATGGTTTTCACGACACACAAGTATGGAGAGGCAATTGCCAAAGACTTACAACAAAAGTCCTTTGGGGGAGTTCCGGGGATGGTTCTAGAGAAATCTGCATTTTCGTATGAGGAATGATTTCTAGTGTTGTATGTAGAGCCTTGAGGTTTATGCTGATGCCAGTCCCTGGAGAGCATGCACCTGTACCCCTGTTCTTTCTCTTAGAGGTCATATGGGTATAAAGCATTAGATAGAAGGCACAGGACTTAAGATCGAGGCACCTCAGTAGCATCTCTGTTTACTCAAACTAATTGCAAAATGATCTGTCACTCCAAATCAAGAAAGATTTTGTTTACTTAGCATGACCTATAGCAAAAGTTTAGTTTCATGTTTGAGCCTTAAGGGGAGACAGAAGGAGAGGGGATTGAGGAAAGGGGGTGGATATAAATGACATGGAAAACTAGAGAGAGGACAGTGTGGTTGACAGGAGTGAGGAGGGAGCAGAAAGGCACCTGGGACCCTGACTCAGACTTACGTGTCTGCCTCGGTGGGATTTATTCTGCACCTAGACCAGGAAGAATCATGAACAGAACACGGCATCTCCTTATCCCTTAAGGAACCACAAGTGATGGGAAATGTCAGAGTCACTGGTTTTATCTGGATCTGTTCCCAGTAGCTTATCCTGTTGTAGGAGGAGCTAAGGTGGGAGGAGTAAGGGGAGGAAGAGAAAAAGGAAGAGGAGGAGCTAGGGAGAGCAGAGATGTAGGAGGATGGAGAGCCACGCAGGTATGGAGAGCAGTCCTGGGTAACAATTTTTATTTAGGTTAGCTAATTGGGAAACAACTCTCTTTGTATGGGCATATTGTTCTTGAGCTTTACCAAACATATAAAGCCTTTGATAAATCTTTAAGCATTAGAGTCTCATTTTTCTACCAGGCTTTCGTGGAATGGTGGGACGGTCTGGGCAATGCCCAGCCTTGTGGAGACAGCATGGAAGATTGGCAGAGCCATCTCCCACACTGGTGTCTCGTGGGTGGCAGGGTTGGTGTTTCTGGCTGACCGTTTCTAGCTGCTGCAACGCACGTGACTTCTGGCCGAGAAACATGGCTGCTGAGCTAGACCAAGCCGCTGCAGCTTAGATAGTCAGCTTGACCAGCAGCCGTTTTGTTTTTTTTTTAATAATTACGTCAACATCCTGTAATGTCTCGTCTTAGAAAGCAACACCATGATCTTCAGGGAAAGTGAGGGGAGGAACTGTCTGAAGGAGGAAGTACATAGATGTAGCAGAGGTATCTAGGAGACCTCCAGAAACGCGGAACAGGTGGGCAGACCAAGTTCAAGGGCTAGACGTTAGAAAGTTCTTTCAAGAACTGGCCTGAGATAGACCCTCAACCAGGGAAAGCATCTTCAGGGTGGGAATCTCGGTCTAGACATTGCGTGAAACCCCCTTCAACAAGGAACCAGCAGTGAACACCTCCCTCTACTGCCCTTTCCCACAGCCACGCCCTGATACAGCACCCCCAGCTGCCCAGTTTCCTCTCCAAGAGCATCCTTTACCAGCGCTCCACTGCTCAGCAGGATGACAAAGATTATGAAGCTCTCAAACCAGCTGTGCTTTACGATTTGGTAGCAGGTTTTCCGAAGGTTCCACCACAAGACCCAGAGGGACTTTCTCTTGTTTGTTTTGCGGCATAGAAAGATACAACTGAGGGCTGAAAGGAAACATTTGTAGCATTAGCGTCTAGAGCGGTTGTGTTCGCCACCTGTCTTCCCACTCCTCTTCATGTCCCTTGCCTTATGAACTGCAGCTCCCCACATCATCCACCACCCCCATCAGGCGTGGGGGCCGGCCTTTCAGCTCTACTGGCCAAAGGGAAGAGGTAAAGCAACAAAGTACCAGATCTAAGCCTTGCCTGTTTCCACTTGGCCTGCATCGTCTCTCTGAAGGAGATATCCTCAGGTTAGCCCATTGGTTCTCATTGAAGGATGAGTCACAAGCAGCAGAGCCAACTTGCTCAGCTGACCTCAACTGAGTCCCGCTGACCCCCTCACTGATACCACTGGCATGAACAAAGTCATCTATCTGCAGCAGAGACCCCCAGCTGGGTCAACTGATGTGGGGGTCTGCTTATCAACACATGCCGTCGATGATTTGTAGTTATTAACTGTGCCAAAAATGTGGGATGGGGAGGTATGTGACATACAAGTAGTGTCCACGGGGTTTCCAGAAATGAGATGAGGGCTTCCAAGGCTTTGTGGACTCAAGCCACACATGGAAGAACCTGACCAACTGTTAAGAGGTCTACAAGTAGCCTTTGTTTTCCAATATATACATCTTTACCACAGAGTGCACTGTTCTTCATACCTCATTCCCTTCCTCTCCATTCATTCCGATAGTGGATGTCCTAAGGACTCTACAGAGGGGCTGACATGTTGGCCCAGCAAGTTATCAAGAAAAGCCTTATGGATACTCACTCTGTTTATTGGGCTATGTGAATGGAGCATACCTAAGCTAAAAGTTTCTTGAAATTCCCTCCACTAGACTCTAATTATCTAAGGATAGTAGTTCTAGAAATGAGGCAGCCACCCGAGCCACAGAGCTACAGAGAACGTAAACCCCACTCAAACACTATGTGCAAAACTATGACCACTTACCCTTGGGAAAGCATCTATCTGGTTGCTTTTTGGGGGAAACTGTTTTCTGTAAATTTCTAAAGATATCATTCAGGTCAATTGTGCTGCATTCCGAGAGCATGCTTACTGCATCGGACTTCTGCATGTTAGAAGAGAGAGAGGAGACAAAGAGTTGCCAAGATGGCCAAGCCAGCCAGGCAGAGGCTTCGGGATGTAAGGATGTTAGTACACTCTTGTTGGGATTTTTGTTAGGTTCTCTATCAACCTTGCTTCAGGGGAAAATTATCTTATCTCTGGGGCTAAGGAACAGCCAGGTACATGTGTGCACATTAGCTTATCCCTTCCTTCCAACAAATCACAACCCTAATAGGCTGCCAATTAGAGCAGCAGATACGAAGACTGATTACTGATCTACTGAGACTAATTTTCAGCTATCCCAACTTATAGAATAATAGGTTAGGCCAGTGGCTCTGGCTCACTTAACCCTGTAAGAGACAATCTAGCAATGTCTAGGGACTTTTTAAAAAAAAAATAAAGAGGTGTGTGTGTGTGTGTGTGTGTGTGTGTGTGTGTGTGTGTGTGTGTGTGTTCCAGCCAGAGCACATTCTTAGCTGTTATTCCTCAGGATCTGGCCATCATGGCTTTTTTGAGACAGTCTCTCATTGGCCTAGAGATCACCAAATGGGCCAGTCTAGCTGACTAGTGAGCCCCAGGGATCTTCCTACTTCTGCCTCCCCAGTGCTGGGATTACAAGCATCCACTACTATGTCTGGCTTTTTTGTGGTCTCTGGAGATCAAGCTCGGGTCCTTACACTGGCTGCAAGCTATTTCTCAAATAGTCCATCTCCCCAGAACTATAGACAGTTTTAATTATCACAGCTAGCGGGATACTCCTGGTATCTAGTGAGTGGAGGCTGAGGATCACCGGCAGGCATCCTAAAATTCACAGGAAAGCTCACCACAGTGGGCAGTTCTCTTGTCCCAAATGTTAATGTAGCAAAACTGAAAGGCGCTGACTCATACACTTGTTTAAGATACTATCCTGGCAATCAGTTCTCCATTCATTCTGCTGTTGCTCCACAAGCCTATTCTGGAGACTGTGTGGAGGAGTCACACGCTCCTCCCCACCATACCCTGGGACCATTACCTTTCGAGCACTCTGTATGGTTAAATGCGGATCTTCTTCAGAAAACACTTCCATTTCAACCCCGTGGTCATCTGGGCTGGGGTGCTGCTTGGTCTCCGGAGAGAGGTCACAGGCCTGACACACAGAAGCCCAGAGTGAAGTTAATACTGCTCTGGACAGATCACTTGGCATAAATCGAGTTTGAATTCTGTTCCTGAAAAACCCAATGTGGAAATGTACTGGGAAAACTACTGAACAGAACAGGAACAGGAACAGGAAGGAATGTATTATAAAGTTCCTTAATCGCAACAGTATGGTTCTGGTATAAGATTCAACCTGTCCAATTAACTCGGAGATAAAATATCAATACAAGTGTGTGTGTGTGTGTGTGTGTGTGTGTGTGTGTGTTTGCATGTAGAGGCCTGAGGTATTTCTGCATTGTTTTACCACTATACTTTTGAGATAGAGTCTCTCATTGAACCCAGAGCTCACCAATTATGTAGACTGACTGGGTAACAAGTGGCAGGGATTCCTGTCCCCCGTCTTCCCCGTGATCAAATTACAGGCACTTAGCAGCATTTTGTTCTGTTTTAATGTACGTGCTGAGGATTCAAACACTTCACCCACTGAGCAATATGGAGACTTAAAATATTCTAAAATGCATCCATTCAACTCAATAGCTAACTAATAAATCAATAAACGACACCGGTACGTGTTGCTACAATTTAGTAAAAAGTAAAATTCACAATCACGTGAATAAACAAAGAGTAAGAAAGAGGAAAAGCAATTTTTATCCTTTGAATACAGAGGGTTTCTTAGTAACTTAGCATGATGTCATCTTGGCAGAATCTAGAATCACCTGGGATATGGGCCCTGGGCATGCCTCTAGGGGGTTATCTGGGAGTGTTAATGCAGGTGGGAAGATGGCCCACTGTGGGCAGCACCATCCCCTGGCTGGGATCCTGGACTGTGCGAGTGGGGGAACGGAGCTGAGCAATAGTACACATCACTCTCTACGTCCTGACTGTGGATGTGATATGAGCAGCTGCTTCAAGCTCCTGCTGTCTCCTCTATGCCACCACCGTGGGCTGTACCTTGAGCTGTGAGCTGAGGTAAACCCTCTCCTTTAGTTGCTTTTGTCTGAGCATTGCATCACAGCAACAGAACAGGAAGCTAAGACACATAGGAAGTGAAAAGCTGTGGTGGTTTGTATATGCTTGGCTCAGGGAGTGGCACTATTAGGAGGTGTGACTCTGTTGGAGTAGGGGTGTCACTGTGGATGTGGGCTTGAAGACCCTCATCCTAGCTGCCTGGCAGTCAGTATTCTGCTAGAAGCATTCAGATGAGGATGTAAAACTCTCAGCTCCTCCTGCACCAGGCCTGCCTGGATGTTGCTGTGTTTCCTGCTATGATGATAATGGACTGAACCTCTGAACCTGTAAGCCAGCCCCAATTAAATGTTGTCCTTATAAGAGTTGCCTTGGTCATGGTGTCTGTTCACAGCAGTAAACCCTAACTAAGACAAAAGTATAAAGGATGCAAGAGCAGCATGTTGTAAAAATCAGGGTTTGGTGTGTTCATCTGCCAGGATGTCTAAAACCAGTGAGTGGTGGCTAATCCTGGGTATCAACTTGACTATAGCAGAACCAGCCATAGCCCAAACTGTGGGTTACTCCGTGGGGAGCTTTCTGACACCTCTTATAATGCTGCAAACACAGCACTCATTAACCCTCCTAGGATTGGCCTGGCGTGTCCAAAAACATCTATATTTTATAAATGCATATCCCTGAACAACACCTAGAATGTGCCGGGTGCCAAGTGCCCTGTGGTGACACTACATTCCAACCACATCTCATGTGATGTACGGACCTTCCATACCTGAACTCCGGCACTAGGAAGTGAGGTGGGTGGGGCACCACATTCACCACAACATTCCATATCGTCCTCTTCCTCTGCGAGTGGGGCCAGCGGAGCCCCGGCCTGCCCAGTGTACAAAGTGATTTCTGAATCATACTCCTTCCAGGGCCTCGCATCCAGGGGGACCATGGCTTTATTCTCACCAGAAAAGCTTTCCCTTGCCTCTTTTGGCTTTGGCGAGTTTTGCCTCTTGCATCTCTTGCAACAAAAATTCCAAAAAGTGTGCGCCATGAAGGAGAAGGCCCGGCGGAACCGATCCAGGGCTAGCTGCACTTTGGTTTTCCTGGTCTCTCCTTCTGGGTTCCCATCCTTCTCCTCATTGCTGAAGGAATTAAGCAGCAAGGCAATGAAGAGGTTAAGCACCTGAGGGGAGTAATAAGGGAAGTTTAGCAGAGAAAGAGGTACTGTGAGCTCCTAGAACTAACGACCTCTCCCTCAAAGCTCAACCGAGTCAAATGAGATTTCCTGCTCTCTCCCAGATATGTCCTCCTACACAGGAAATGGCAAGATGGAGCCTGAGGAAAGAACAGACAAGAGGCACAGATCAGGCAAGGTGACAGACATACACATAGGGAAGGGTGCATCCAGAAAGTGTTACACTGAGAGAACCCAGGCTCCGGAAGGCTAATACCACATGTTTCCTCTCATAAACCAATCCCACCTCTAAGGCTTTTTAAACGAGTGTGTATGTGGGCGTGAGTGTAGGTTATCAGTCGTGAAACAGAAAGGAGACTACAAGAGAGAGAAAATGGTGATTTTAAAAAGGGCAGAGGTAATGATACAATTCATGTGACATAGAAGAAAGGGTCTTCTGGGCTGAGAGGGCAAGAGCTTAGGAAGACGGCTCAGCAGTTCAAGTCCCCAGGACCCACACAAATGCCAAGTGGGCATGGAAGCCAACCTGTGATCCCAGCTGCAGAGACAGAGCTAGAAAATCTCTGCAGCAAGCTGGCTGAGAGCTCTGGGTTGACTGAGAGATCCTGTCTGGAACAAGCTGGCTAGCCAGACCAGCCGTGTCTGAGAGCTCTGGAATTGACTGAGATCCTGCCACCAAGACCAAGACAGAAGCATCATCAAGAACGATGTCTGACATCACTTCAGGGCCTCTACACACTTCCAACACACACACCCAGGCATTCACGTGTGTCTGCATATACAGGCACCCACACGCATGTGAACTGGCATACACACTCAAGTGGCACACCACATACACATAGAAATAAGAAAAAAAAACCTCTATGTAATATATAAAAATGTAACAATGAAATGTATTAAGTTTTGTATACTAATTAATTTTTAATTTAATACTAATTTTTATGTTTTACTCCTCTGTGTGTCTGTGTCTGTGTGTATGTGTATGTGTCTCTGTGTGTCTGTGTGTATCTGTCTGTGTGTCTGTATGTGTATATATATGTGTCTGTGTGTGTGTCTGTGTATGTCTATATGTGTGTGTATGTGTCTCTGTGTGTGTGTCTATATGTGTCTGTACGTGTCTATATGTGTGTCTGTGTCTATGTGTATCTGTGTCTGGGTGTGTGTGTAGATGTGCATGGAATGTATACCCAGGTGCTCACAGAAGGCCTCAGAAGCTGGAGCTACAGGTCGTTTTGAGCTTCCCTTTGTGGGGAAGTGTTTGAGGCTATGAATGGATGTAGTCATTCAGCTTTACCAGGAGACTTCCTCTCCCTGCACCTTTGCTCCAGTTTTCCTCTGCACATCTAAGCCCTTCCTGACTTGAGAAGTGGCCTTCTCAAGTACCACAGTTGTCAGTGGATCCTTTCTCAGGGCTCTCTTCCAACTCCCATTAGTGATGTCCTGGTTTCTGACCCTTGTGACACTTGCCAGCTGTACAGATACTATTTATTAGGCACTTAGGACAAAGCTATCTGTGTGGACAGTTACTTATGTCTGCCCCGTGACCCCTACGTGTTCCAAGCCCAGGGTTCCTTATGCATCTCTATCTCTTCATATCTTCACTGATATATATGTAATCAGCCTCTCTGTTGATATCTAGGCAGCTAGATGAAGACAAAGAGCCAAGCTGCCTTACCCAGTAAGGAAGCCCAGCAGTATAAGATGTCTGAAGAAGGAACAAGGGCCTGTTATAAGTGCAGACAGATGTATCAGAATCATTACATGATGTTTACAGATCTAGGAATCACAGACAAAAAAAGACACAGAGCAAGTAAAGAACCATCGCCCTCCCGTGTGTGTGTGTGTGTGTGTGTGTGTGTGTGTGTGTGTGTACACTTGCATGTGTTATAGGGGGTACATGTATAAACCTGAGGTCAACCTCAGATTTTGTTCCTGTTGTTCTGATTGTTTTGAGCCAATGTCTCTCCCTTGCCTGGAGCTCACCTAGGCTAACTGCAAGCGTCAGGATCGCCTGCCTTCACATTTCCACTGTCGCAGAAGTGCCAGCCACCACTCGAGGCTCTTTGTTTCCATTCCTTCTTGGACAGGATTTAGGTCCCTGTGTTTGTACATCAAGCACTTTCTCACGAGAGTTCTTTGCCTCTTGCGCATATTTTAAGAATGAAGAGTCATCCTATGTTCCCCCAGTGGACATCTCTGCCTATCTTCTCCACCAAATAAGTCATGTGGCCTTGCCTTAGCCAGACAGTTCTCAACCCGTGGGTCTCGACCCCCACAAGGATAGCGTATTAGATATTCTGCATATCAGATACTTACATTGCTATTCATAACAGTAAAAAATTTACGGTGGCAATGAAATAATTTTATGGTCGGGGGTCACCAAAACATGAGGAACTGTATAGATGTGTCGCAGCATTAGGAAAGTTGGGGATGACTGTCTTAGCCGATCACTGATCAGGAGAACATGATTTCCTTACACCAAGCATCAGTGATGAACTGGCCAATGGGCAGAGCCAGTAAACAACACAACAACACATGTCCCGTGTGTTAAAGAGGTTTCGTCTCATGTTTATACCTTCCTCAGGTCAAATTCAAAATAATATTCTTTTCAGTTATATTTTTATGCATATGGGTGTTTTGCCTGCACACGTCTGTTCACAGTGTGCTTGCTTAGAACCTGACGACTCCAGAAGAGGGCATCAGGTTCCCTGGAACAAGAGTTACAGACAGCTGAGAGCTGTACTTGGAATTGAATCCAGGTCCTCTGGAGGAGCAACCAGTGCTCTTAACCAGTGAGCGATCTCTCCAACCCAATAAAAAGGAGAATTTTAAGATTCAATTGTCTCATACTTTGAATAACAATGCTCACTAGTGAAGTGTTGTTAAGAGACCGAGGAACGCTCAGCTCTAAGTGGGCTCACACTCTGTCTCCGTGGCTCACTGATCATTGTGAAGAAAGACTTAAGACACAGCAGCAGTGGACGAAGACAACAGGGAATCAGTGCCTTCTGGATACAGCCAGGAAACTGCACACACAAACTCACAGCAGTTACGATGGCATACACCGAACCATGCGAGCCCCAGCCAAACCAAACCCCAGTCTGGAGTGGGGAAGGGGACATGAAGTCCCACCCTTAGCCAAGGAGAGATTTGTCCTTTGCTAGCTGCTGTGAGTGGGTCAGTTTCCTTTAAAGGTGTTGCTCCTGGTAAATTAGCCACACTTCAATGGAAGACCACACATCCAAGAGTACAGGAGCATCACACACTGGACTTGATGGGCGGGGCGGGGGATGAGTAAGATCGAATCGCGCTGAATGAACGACCTCAGCCACTCACCACAAGCTTCCCAATCACCATGATGAGCACGAAGACGATGATGCATAGCGGGGAGCCGTCCATCTCCTGCATACATTCCCACATGTTCTCGATCCATTCCCCACAGAGGATGCGGAACACCACCAGGAAGGAGTGGTAGAAGTCGTCCATGTGCCAGCGCCGCCTGCACCGCTCCCGGGGGACGTAGGCGGTCTTGTTGAACTTGGCGCCAAAGAGCCGCATGCCAACCACGGAAAAGATGAAGACCACGATGGTCAGGACCACAGTCAGGTTTCCGAGCGCACCCACAGAGTGGCCGATGATCTTAATGAGGGTGTTTAACGTGGGCCAGGATTTGGCTAACTTGAAGACCCTCAGCTGTGAAAACGGAACAAACCAAAGGAAAGTTACACCTGCAGCGAGCTGCTGTAGAAAGCAAACAGTGTCCTTCAACCCCAGGGCTTGGGACTTTCAAAACCTGCCACCTGCAGCATAGTCACCAGCTTCTGGTCTCAAGTACTACTTTTTAATTTAAATCTTTTTTTTTTTCCTTTTTTAAAGTTCTGTGTATATTGGTCATTTGCCTGCAAGAGCATCACAGTACTGGAGGAGGCCAGCAGAGGGAGTCAGGACCCCGGTACTGAAGTTAAAGCCAGCTGTGAGCCACCATGTGGGTGCTAGGAATTGAACCTGGGTCCTCTGGAAGAGCACCCAGCACTCCTAACTGCTAGGCCGTTTCTCCAGGTCCAATCTAAATCTTTTTAAATTTATATTTATTCATTTATTTGTGGAAAAAGAGAGAGACACATATGGTGGTTATCCTAGTTGGCCTCAACTGTTTTTGAAGGGTTGTCCAGTCAGATCTGACCACGAGGGTCTGTCTTGATGAGTCCATTGTGGACAGCATCCCCCCTACACAGTTAGGCTTGCACTGTGTAAGAAAACGGGATGAACATGAGCCTGTGAGCGAGACATGCAGTCAGCCAGGAAGCATCCATCGCTCCATGGCTTCTGCTCCGATTCCTTTGCTGTGAGTGAGCTCCTGCCCTGACTTCCCATGGTGACAGACTACAGAAAAATAAGACAAATAAACCGTCTCCGCGTCTAAGTTACTCTGGGTCAGATTTCCTGTTTTATCACAGAAGCAGAATGAACCTGGAACGGTGGTCAAAAGAAGAAGACTTATATACAAATTACAACCTGCAGGAGTCGGCTTTCTCCTTCCACCATGGGGGTCCCAGGGATTGAGCTCAGGCCTTCAGGCTTGGGAGCAAACATGCCACCCTAGCTGAACAATCTCACCAACCCCACAGTTTTATTTTAAAATAGAAAGTATCTTGTTCTGGGGCTGGAAGGATGGCCCCACAGTGATGAACACATGCCACTCTTATAGAGAAAAGTTCTTGTAGAGGACTCCACCCTGGGTGGCTGGTACCCAGGGGCTCTGTAGCTGGCTTCTGGCTTCCCCGGGTAGCTGCACACATGTGATACACATGTGACACATATGCACATATATAACATATCCACACATGCATGGATCTGCACACATGTCACACACATGTCACACACACACATACACATGACATACCCATACATGTATCCACATGCGCACACACAAAGCTTTTTTAAAATTATTTTTCTTAAAATTAATAATTAATATTAATTATTAATTTCTTAAAATTATCTTTCTTAAAATTATTTTTAAGAAGTCAACCTAAACTAGCTGTTCATGACAGCACACATCTGTAATCCAAGACCTTGGGAAGAAGATTGGGAATTTGAGGCCAACCTGGGCTACCTAGGGAGGTAGATGAATACAAATTTTGTCCTGGAGCTAGAATGTGATGAATTAAGGTTTAATCCAAAATAGCTGTTGAGCCCACTCAAGATTTTTTTTCTGTTCAGGATGTTAGGTTACACTGTGGAATAAGAAAGTGGGGCCAGGGCCAGGGCCAGGTGTGGGTAGCACACACCTATAACCTCAGCACTGGAAGACACGGGCAAGTAGATCTGTAGGATCACAGCCACCCTGCACTATATAATGAGTGCCAGGCCAGCATGGGCTACATAGCGAGACCCTGTCTCAAATAGAAAGAAGAGAGAAAGGAAGGAAAAGGATAGGAAGGGGAGGGGCAAAGAATGGGACAGGTGAAATGGTTCAGTGGACAAAGGCACTTCCTGACCCCAGTTTGAGCCCCATGATCCTCAGGGTCAGAGAGAGCATGAACTCCCGCAAGGTGTCCTTTGACCTCCACTCATGTAACACTGCGCACGCGTACACATGCACCCGCACGCACTCGCGCACACGATACAAGTAAGTTTAAAATGTAAAAATGAAACAAAAGAAAGCGCCTTACCACTCTGAGGGAAGCCAAGAAAGAGAGGTTGTAGAGCACGTCAGCGAGACTCAGAAGGGCCACGATGCTGTCAAAGATGTTCCAGCCGTGCTGGAAGTAATGGTAAGGGTCCAGCGCGATGATCTTGAGACACATTTCCGCTATGAAAATTCCAGTGAAAACCTGCAGTGGGACAAAGGACAAGCGGGAGCTAGCTTTGTTCTGGAGGCGCCTGCTTAAGGACGAGCAGAGTGACCCACATGGACCCCATGCATGGTGGCGGACCTACAGTCCAGGCGCGGGGCACACAGGCCCAGATTCCCCACTACGCTACCATAGCTGCATCCACCAGGAGGCGCTGAAAGTCAGGTCTGCTGACTGCTGGGGCGGGGGCTGTGCCCCCAAGACCCAGATCCTTCCTCCAGCTACATTTCTGCTTTAAACTGTTTTAATTGTTAACTGTTGGATAACGTTTTGGTACATGCATGTCATATACTCTTCTTGTTCCTCTTCCTCCCCGCTGTCCTCCCCCGATGCCCTCCCCATTCCTCCTGCTCTGTCTTGCTAGCCCCCCTACCCAAAGAAAATACGTAAAACTAAAGAGCTTCCTTATTTTAAAATTTAAAATGTATGTATTGTGTTTTCAGTTAGAGAAACGGAACTTTGGAAGAAGACTGGATATTCTGGAAAGATTTTCAATCCATGAATCCATTAACTAATTAGAGTCAAGCATCCACCGACTAATTGTTTGTTGTTTCTGATATATGAGAGACTCAATTTCCCATGAGGAGAAAAAAACAAAAACTGCCTTCCACAGGAACCACGAAAGACAGTGAGCAATCATTCAAAGTTCGGCATCCTTCTTATCCTAGGTTTCCCAGTTTAACCAAGACTCATTCAGTAAAAACCAGTGACATCCAGGAAGTCCACCTCATCTCCTCTCTCTCTCTCTCTCTCTCTCTCTCTCTCTCTCTCTCTCGTACATCCACCTACGTCTTCCAGACCTGACTCACCTTTCCTGAGAATTTACCTATATACCAAATCTACATTATTTTATGACACATGATGTTCCCAGAACAAAGTGCTATGGAGGTCATTATCAGGGGTCTCTGGAGATGCCTTTTTCATGGAGGAACAGATGTTGTGAGACAGGGTCTCATGTAGCCCAGGCTAGCACTGAACTTGCTCTGTGACTGAGGATAACCTTGATCTGGGATCACAAACATTCATCACCATGCCCAATTTATGTGGCGTTGCTGTGTATTGAACCCAAGGCTTCATGCACACAACCGACTGAACTACGCCCCAGCCCCAGTTTGGCATCTTCTCAGGTTTCCCTAACACCCAGAATGTCACTTTTAAGATTGTCTACTACTGCTTCTCCTTCGTGGCTAAAGAGAACTTTAGAGGGCCCATGGGAAACCATAGATATGACCTGCGCAGAACTCAGACCCAAATTCCATTTATGGAACCCAAGGTTGCAGTTTGGGTTAGGTTACTGGAAATGCTTGTACTTCAGCAGAGCTAATGACTCGAAATTCTTCGTGCTTTACAAGCGCCCGAGATTACCCAGTTTCCTATTTTCAGTACGGTTTTTAAATAGTCATCCATATCGTGGTGCTCCATGGCCAAGAAGACAGTATTGATGAGGATGCAGATGGTGATGGCCAGCTCAGTAAACGGATCTGTCATGATAGCCCGCAGGACCTTCTTTATGCACAGCCACCGAGGGCTACAGTCCCACACCAGGTACTTAGACGCCAAGTTTTTCCCACATGGGAAACAAGGCTCCTGGGATTTTTCTTGTTCTGGAAGAGAATGGAAGAATGATAAGGTGTTTGTTCTGAACCAGCCTGGCTGCTCCCTGCCTGCATGTTTAACTTCTTCCTTCTTCCCCGGGGTTTTTTGTGATACATGGCAGATCAAGCAGGGCACTGACTTGAATAGCCAGGAAGTTTTTCCTGCCAAGTAAAGTTGAGAGGAAATGACCTTGCGTACAGCTAGCATGTGGCAAAGTCAAGCACATCAGACAGGGATCCAGAGGCCAACTCTGATTGGTTAGGAACCCATGAGAGAGACAGAGGTAAGCATAATCTCTGCTTTCTAAGAGAGTCCACGCCCATGGCCAAGGGATGCCAGGGCTTAGGAGAAGAAAAAAAGGTTGAGGACAATTGAAGGTACTGTGAGAGTTAATGTTGATTGTCAATTTAACAGGATCTAAAAATACCGGGGGAGAAAAGGCGTGTCTGTGAGGGAATTCCTAGATTACTGGGGGTGGGAAAACCCGCTCTAAATATAGAAGGCACTATTTCTCAAGCTGGAGTCTTGAATTGAATGAAGAAAGTGAGAACACTAGTATCTCTTTTTCTCTCTCTCTCTCTCTCTCTCTCTCTCTCTCTCTCTCTCTCTCTCTCTCCTTCTTCTTGACTGTAGTCACAGTGTGCCCTCTCATCTCTCTCTGCCTTCCGTGCCCTTCCTGTCATGATGGAGTATACCCTCAAACTGTGATCCCAAATAAGTCCTTCCCCCTTTCTTCCTTCAGTTGCTCTGTCATGTTATTTTGTTACCAGTGTTCTGTCAGCTACTCAAGCTCAGGCCCTTAGATGTCTGTACCCCTGATTTGCTGGGTACCATTTCAGAGACTCGTGCAGGCCAAGAGAGGCCATGTAATAATTTAAATGTGCAAAAGGCCCCATCCACCCCAGTCTTTCATGGTCTTGAGTATCTAGACCTTTCCTAGGGCTCACTGTTTGCTGTCAACCTGGGCTAGCAGGGGGTCTTGGCTGGTCTATATGATCTTCTTTGTCCCATGTCAGAATCCTGGCTCTAACTTTGAGAAAAACTGCCACCTCCTGGTAAGGTCTTGCAGCTTTGTTGACTATTGTCATTCAGACCTCCTGAGGCTGGCCAGCCTGCTTGTGAGGAGCTGTCTGTGTTCACAGGCTGAAATCTCCTCCTACCTCTAGCCAACCCCCACCGGGCAGGGAGCACACCTCTCAGGAGGTCCACTTCACTCAAGCCACTTTGCTTGCATGCTCCTGAGATACACGGAGTCTGTTTTTGCAGGATGGCACAGTGGGGTGGCCCCAGAAAACTTCCTCTATGGAGGGCTTCTGGAGGGACTGGGGATGAGGGAAATAAAGAAGTCACAGATGTCGGTTTTCCCAGCAATGCAGAACTCACCCTGCATGGTGATGGTTAAGATACTGACTGCGCTCAGCGCTCTCTGTCTGTGGAGGGGGTCCACATGCTCATCAAACAGATCCACTGGCAAGTTCTGGGACAGTCGTTTGGTTTGCTCAAGGAGTTGTGGCTGTAAGAAAAAGTATGGTGGACCTTTTAAAGGCAGGAGTTGACACTCCCCAAATTTCATAAAGACATCAAATGAAGATAAAGAACATTTTATCCAGAGAGGTTCACGATATCGTAATGGTGTACCCGGCATTCAGTTTTCTTTGCCCGTGTGGAATAGGCCAGAGAAGTAGGATTTGATCACTCATTGTTCATATATATGTGCATTTCTTGAGTCTGACCTACAGAAATTTTGTGTTTTATTTACCTTCAACAAAGGGCAAACCAAATACTCTCTACCCTAGTGATAAGGATAATTTTACTTGTGGGCATCACCCATACCTCATTTCTGTCTATCCATAGACCCGTGGTCCACTCAGTATCTTTACTGGGAGTCCCCACAAGCACCTCAACACCGATACATCCAGAAAGGAACTGGCCATCTTTTCCACCCCTAACATATGTCCTTTCTTATCTCAACAAATCACCTACTCAATCAGCCACAAGCCCTACTCAGTTCAATCACCAGGCATCACCTTCTGTGGGTAAATTTGCTTGTCTTTCTCCATCCTTGTTCTTGGCCATTTCCTATGGATTCAAACACTCCCTCCGGTAAGGGGAAGGAAACACCCCATATTTAAGTGATTTGGAAGGCTAAATGACCCACAAGGCCCAGTCATATGGTTTTTAAAATATTT